CTTTAACCTATATTTATGGAACACTGTGGTATATTTTAATTTTAGGCAAAGGTAGAACTGTATGAACTGATCATTTGTTGTTGTTGTTGTCATCATTGTTTCAGCTTTTAATATCCAAACGTACACAGTGACAAACAGTAATTTAGCAGGTGGAAGTCACCCACAAAGTGTGCATTGAGTTCTTTAGCTTAGGAGTGGTGCTTCTAGGCAGAATAGTGCACCTCCAAAGCACTGGGTGAAAAGCTGCATTTTCCATTTTGTCCTCTCTAATTTCTCAGTAGACAAATACTCCTGATTACTAATGAGTAATGTGTCACTGAGTGATGTTTTGAGAACTGAGTGCTATGTCTCAGAGAGCCCAATCGAGTATCATGGGGATGGCTTTTAGAGGAAAAAAATGTTGCCTTTCCAATTCTCCATCAGTCCCTAAGTTGATGGTGCTTCTCCAAATGTAGGTTTTCTGTAGGCTGGTGTAGTCAACTCATCCATAGCAGTGTCCTGGCTAATCACACCTTCATAAAATAAGTAAATGTTACTGAACCCTGGCCACACACCTGGGCCAGGGCTGGGTGTAGGAAAGAGATTAAAAAAGAAGTGTGCAGGAGAGATCTGCAAAGCTCACATTCTTGGACAAAGCTTTCACTGGAGTGGTGTAATATGTGATTATACTGGGGTGATATGTGATCACATTAGGGCACACAGGAGCGACTTGGAAAATCCTTGTCCTCAGAGTCAGACATGGTGATATAACTCTGGATTCTCCTGCTTCCAAGATGAATCTCCTTCCACATGTTTCTCACCCCATTTATGATTGTTTGCTCCAGAACAATGGTGAAACTACACAGAGGTGTGACACACGAAGTGCCTGGCAGGGGTGGGTGGGTGGAGCCTCATGGTCCCCAGGTGTCCCCAGGTTTACAACCAGATGGTGTTACCTGGAAGAGGCATGACTTGCATAGGGTCTCTGCTTCTCCACTGTAGGATGACAGCCACTAACTAAATCCTACCACCTCTTTGTTTCACCACAGAGCTTTCCTGACTTTTCAGGAAAGTGGTTGGAGGTCTTGAAGGGCACCATAAAGCCTGAACCTTTTTAAGTGGCTTTCAGAGAAGAAGAAAAATCCAGGAACCAGGAAAATTGAAAAGACATGGTCTTCAAGCCACCACCACATGCTGGTGGTACAACTTGAGTTGGACTTCTAAGAGTGCATGGTCCAACCTGAAACGGGTTATCTTGTGGGTCAGACAGATCTGAAGTTGTACGCACCTGGGAAGCAGCCATAACAAAATAGCCAGGAGCCAGAAACATCATCTGTTTAAACCTTGAAATCAGAATCAAACCTTGCATTTCTCCAGATTTCAGACCATTGACTATTCAAGTAGTAGAATTTGGAGCTGTGGGATAGGTAGAATCATGTCCCCCTCAACAATGTCCCAGTCTTCATTAGTGGAACTTATGAATGTTAGGTTACTTCGCAAAGGGAATCACATGCAAAAAGAATTAAGGTTGCCAGTCAGCTGACCTTAACATGGAAAGATTATCCTGTATTAAATGAGTATTCCCAACATAATCATAACAAACTTAAAAATGGAAGTGAGAGACTGGAAAGAGAACCAGAGAGTGAGGTCAGTATGGAAAAAGGGCACTGTCAGAGGCACAGAGCTGCCCCAAACCAGTGAGACACACTTCACACTCTGGACCTCCGGAACTGTAGATCATCCTCTGTGTTGTTTTCACCACTGAAGCTTTGCGGTGATTTGTTGCGGCAGTCGTAGGAAACAGATGCAAACTGGAATGAACCTCAGACTAGAGCAAATTGATGGAATTTCCTGGATCCTACATTGTCCTCACCTGTTAATTACTCATGACCTGGAAGTCATAACACAGCTGGGCCAGAAGTTTCCCCTCCCAAACACCCGAACAACATGACTAACTCTTATTATTTCAAAGGGTTTTATTAGTAACTGTGATTTGTTTATGAAATATGACGATTAATCATAGGAAAATCAGTTATCAATTATTGTTGAGCACTGTTTGCCAGGCCCAGTGCTAAATACTCTGTAGACATTATTTCATTTAATTCTCAAAATAATTCTAGGAGTCAGCTATAGTTTTGCATTTTACAGCAAGGATTCTTATATGCATGTGGTCAGCAAAGAAATGGAACCCAGTATGTCTGACCCGTAAGTCAGGAATACAGGAAACCAGAATGTCGTGGGCATCAGACCCAGGGAAACAAAATTTCACTACGAAACACTGGAACTCTGCAAAGTACATTATTTTATTAGGCAAGAATTACTGTAAAGTCTTTTGAAAACAAGTACCCTTAAATGAATATGGCATATTCTTTATGTTTCCAAAATGCTGATTTGAACTAGAACCTCTCAGAAGCTAGCATAATAATGTTTTTCTGTGGGTTAAGATTGTCAGCCAAAATTAAAGTATGAAAAATGGTTTGTCAACTAAAATATATATTTCTATAATTGACTATTTTTCATAAGACAGTAATGGTGACAGCATACATTTCTCTAGACATTGGAATATAAAGATCTTCAAAGCATACTTTTTCATTTAATATAATTTCTAATGATGGCTGGCCATGCATTCTTCATAAATAAAAAATGAAGGCTTTGAGTTTGGTTCCCTCTGAAAACCACTTACATCTGTGTGCGTCACTATGGGAAGAAAAGATGGACGAGGTGTGGATTCTTCCCCATGGAGCTAACCATGGACAGAGAACAACTAGAACATAAACACTTCCAGTTACCCTGGAGTCTATAAGAGCGTTAAGTGTATTTGCCCATTAACACCAGGGAGAATTGACCCCTTGCTCCTGAATCTCCCTTCCCATCTTCCCTTCCCTTCCCTCTTATTATCTCCCTCTTTTCTCTTCCCTCTCCCTGCCCCTCTTTTCTTGTTCTTGGACTTCCTCCTCCTCCTCCTCTTCTTTCTCCTTCTGTCCCTCCCTCCCACCCCACTCTCTCTCATTCTTCTCCTTCGGATCATCTTGCTTCAGTGTCAAGAGAAAACAAGCATAACTTTCAGTCTTCTCAGAACTTTCCACATTCAAATCTACTCAGGGCTACTCTGGACTAGGATATTTATTTTCCTCAAATACTTTTAAATTCCAAAATCCCATTGGCTAAAGCAATCACGGGAGAGATAAAGGTAGGTTGACGTGAAAGCTGTGTTTTACATTCCTTATTAGTCAGCATTTTGTCCATACAGGATGATTCATTCCTTTATTTGGAAACAGTGACAGCAGTCCCCCTTGTCCATTAGTTACCCTCAGTCAGCCATGGCCCGAAAATATTAAATGTAGAAAACTGGAAACAAAAAATCCACAAATTTCAAGTCATGCACCACTCTGAGCAATGTGATGAGATCTCATGCCAAGCTGCTCTGTGTTGTGCAGGATGTGAATCACCCCTTTGTACAGCGTACCCACACCGTGTGCCACACACCCTTAGTCACTAATCAGCCTTCTGGGAAATCCGAGTGATGGCCATGAAATCCTAGTGCCTGTGTCCAAAAGACCCTTGTGACTTAGTCCCAAAGTTCAAGCATCATGATGCTGGCAATGCAGTTGTGTCAGAGGAAAGCCATACACTGTTTCCTTTAAGTGAAAAGATGAAAGTACTGTGAGGTAGTTTGAGAGGGAGATCATGTGTGCATAGTTTCCATTGTGGTCCTTTGTTTTATTTGATTATTAATTCATCTCTTTACCACGCCTAATTTGTGAATTAAACATTTTAACAGGTATGCCTGTATAGATGTATAAGAAACAACAATAGTTTTGTTCTACTTGTGGATTTGGGCATCCACTGAGGAGCTTGCAATGTTTCCCCTGTGGATAAGGGGGTGATAGTGTAGTATTACACTTAACAATCAGTATGACACTTAACATCTGCTGTATCCTAAATAATGTGCCAGGAACTGATGGTATAGGAATACGGCAGTTTATAACAGCTATTGCCTTGGTTTGAATGCCCCCTTTAGAACTCCTGTGACTGAGTAGTTGTCATTGCAGCAGTAATAACAGATGAGATCTGGAAGTGATTAGGTAAGGAGGGCTCTGACTTCCGGAATTGGTGCTATCGTTGTCTCAGGAGAAGATTCATGGCTGTGTGTCTTTGATAAGAGAATGAGTTCACCAGTTTTTTTCTCTCAGTCTCTCCTGTGTTTCCTTCCACCGACCTATGATTCAGCACAGAGGCCCTAACCGGACACCAACACATACTGTCGAACTTCCCAGCCCTGCAAGCATGAGCCACATACAATCTATTGTTCATAAACTCCCACTCCACAGCATTCTGTTACAGCAGCAGGAAACACATTAAGACAGCTACTTGATGTCTACCGCATGCACTTGTTATGTAGCAATCATTCATGAAAACCGTCCGTTTCACTCTAATGAGACATGCACAGTTATTATTTTGGTACAGTGAAGGGAACTGAGAGAGACATTAGGTGATTTCCACAAAGCACCATTGGTAAGTGGTTGAGCCACAGTTCAAACCCAAGAGGCTGGTCTGATCTTACTTACTCAGTAAATGGAGTAGTTTCTGACTTTCAGAATATTTGTGTACTGGGTTATTTCCTATGTATGGTCTGTGGCCCATTAGAGGCCAATTTAAGTACATGTGCTGCCCAAGCCAGCACCCCCTAGAGGTCAGAAGGACCTTTCTACATCAGAAATGGACCCACTTCTCAGTCCTATGTGTGTGTGTGTGTGGGGGGGTGTCCTGGGGATTGAACCCATGACCTTTACACTGCACCAAGAACCTTCACACTTAACTATACCCTGAGCCCATTTTTAATTTTTTTGTTTTGAGGCACAGTGTCAGTCAGTGCCAAGCCTTGTCTGGAAAGGCTCAGCATTCCAAGTACTGAGATTATAAGCCTGCATGAATGCTTCTTAATCAGTCACCAAATAATAGCAGGGGAAGACGTGGGCTGTCAGATATTTTGCACATCGTAAATGACCTGAAGTCCAAAATATTAGACACAATGGCTAGCGAGGGAGCTAGAACATGAAGAGATGTCACCAACATATTCTTTTTATGCCTCTGATAGGATCTATGTTAACTTGGAGGGGATCCCCAGAGTTGAGGGGGAGAAAATGACCTGATAACTGAGACTGTAAAGCTTCCCAGAAGTTAAAGAAGCTTGGGGGTAAGTACTTGGGCGGGAAGAGTATTTGGGGGGAAGGAAGAGCACATGTAGATACAAGTAAGACAGGAGACAGACAAGATCAGGAATATGCTTTCAGTTTCCAGTTCATTGTTATCACAGTATGAGGTAGGAGAGAGGCAGTGGCTAAGGCTGAGGCTGGAAAGCCATGCTACAAAGCATTTTGTATAGCAGGAACCATTGCAGTGATTCCCCACATTAAGTTACAAAAAGCTAAACAAAACAAAAGACAAAAACCTTCTACTCTTTATGTGTATTTTGTTTTGTTTTGTTTTGCCTCCAGGAACAAATAATGAGAACGAGGCGAGAGGGGAAGAAACTCTTAGTGGTCACGGGGGTCGGGGGTATCTTTGGAAATCAGTGCTCTTATTCAGCCATCCTTGTTTGAGTTTTTCCCAGTTCCAGTTGGAATGTGGCTTTGCATGACATTTCACAGTTTAATGCTACAACAACTCAGAAATAGTTCAAAACCGTCTTTGCTGTTAGATCTTTTTGTTGTTGTTCCTTTTCTTATTGGATATATAGATTCATAGGTTTCATGGATAATAAATGTATGTAACATACTTTGATCACTTTCACACCCTTCTCTTACCCTTTTTTACCCTGCAATCTCCCTGGATTCCCAGCGTGTGGGGGGATTTCAGTGAGAATAATTGTATCCCTTCCCTTTACTATATTTTTTGTTTGTTGGTTTTGTTTGGGGAGGGTATCGAGGATTGAACTCAGGACCTCATGCTTGAGAGTCAGGCATGGTTCCAATGACCTAAATCCCCTCTCTACTGTATTTTTTAAAAAATATTCTATCCTGAATTTTCACAATTTCTCATAAATCATTATGCAACAAGTTTGATAGTTTGACACAGTCCTTGGAGCCTTACTTATTGGTCAGTTACACTGTTAGACATTGTGCTCAGTGTTTCGAAAATACTCTTTCATTTACATCTTAAAATAAACCTGAGACATATGTGACCTTATATGATCTAAAAAAAGTAACATCATTTCAATTTTAATGCAAAATTTTTAGATTCAGGTATGAATGATATTGAGCACCATTTTATACAATTGTTGGATATTTAGATATTCTCTTTTTAGAAGTCTGTATTTGGTTAAATTTTGCCAATACAGTTGTCTGTTGATCTTAAAAATTTTAGGAGGTTTTTTTTAATATAATCAAGTTAATGAAGTTAATTTTTATTTTATAATGTGATAAAGTCCAGTTTAACCAACCATGACATGAAGACAATGCTCCTATGTGCAGAGCCCATTCTAGAAAATTTACATTTTGACCTTTCACGTCTAAGTCTACAACACATCCCAAATTAAATTCTGTGTAAGGTATAAGGTAGGAGTCTGCGGGTTTCTTAGAGTTGGAGTCACAAATTGTCACAAACTGAGCAGATTAATGTGGCAGAAATTAGTTTCTCATAAACACTGTCCAAGATGACCTCATTACAGGAGAAGTCTCACTTGGCTAATAGTCTTCACTATGTCTCTAAATTTAACTTGTGAACACTTTGTTTAGGATTGTGCTTATATGTTTATGAGTAATATACAAATGTAACTTTTTGTAATATCATTTTCGGCTTTTGGTATCAGAGTTACACCATCTTCATAAAAGTAAACAGACATATTCCTATTCTGTTTGTGTAGGTTCGTGTAATATTGGTGTTACTGGTCTTTTAAATGCTCATAAGAAAATAGTACAAGAATAATTTGAGCCAGAAGTCCCCCTCCTCACTTTGGCTTGCTTATTTGAATATTTTATTCATATTGTTATTATTTAATTTCTTTACAATGCAATGTTCTTTAAGATATGGGGACATTGTATTTATATTTTTATTTTCCTTGTTTAATCCTATTGCAATCAGAAAATATATTCTTTATGAACTGAGCCCTTTGAGGTTTATATAAATATGCTTTACTGCTCAGTATAATGTCTCCTTGAATACATTTTCCAAATACATTTTAAAATATTGTTTTTCATGTTTTGATTTTAGTGTAGTTTCTATAATTCTCAATTAGTTCACATTAGTGGGTTTTGAAGTACATTTTTTGTCCCTGAACTGATATTTAGCCTGTTTTTAAAATAATATTTAGCAACAAATAAGAAAAATTGTCATTTTGTATATATTTCCTATTCTCTGTTTTATGTTCATATGCATTTCAGCTTATTATGATTTCTTACTATTACCCTTATTATTATTCTTTATCTATGAGAAAGATAACTTCTTTCTTTAAATATTTCTTCAATGCTAACTTTTCTCATATTAATATACTTAGAAGAGTTTTGATTTGGTTCATATACTATAAAATTTATTATTATTAGTTGTTTCTATCATTGTATATTTACTTTGTATTTTGAGAGGCCAAGAAGTGTTTTCTCTTAAATACTACATACTTGGGTTTAGCGAATTTAATTTTCTCTGGCTGAAACTGCTTTCCTATTGAGTGATCAGACAGTTTGCATTGAATGTAACTCTGACATGGATGGTTCTAAGATTGCAGTTTTTGTTTGTTTGTTTGTTCATTTGTTTCTAGAGACAGTCCTGTTATGCAGTTCAGGCTGGCCTTGAATTCATAGCAATCCTTCTGCCTCAACCTCCTTGTGTTGAGATTATAGGCATGGCCTATTGTATGTGACCAGCATGGCAATACATTTTTTTGCCATTTTTGTACTTTCTTTCCATTTGACCAAACTCATTTCCCCGGCTCTTCTTTTCCTTGTTTCTGTTAGATTAATTGAGAAATGCAAGTATTTATTTTCCTCTGTCCACTCTTTATGTACATCCCTTACATTATTTTTAGTGGTGCTTTTATTACATGTTCTTAATGGTTAGAATTTATCTTAAATTAACATTTTTTGATTTCTTGGACCATGCAGGACCCTTATAAGAACAATCCTTTTACTTCCTCTGCGTTAGTCAACTTTCTGTACCTGTAGCAAAATACTTGAGAAAATCAGCTTAGAAGAGGAAAGACTTAGGTTAGCACATGATTTCAGAAGCTTCAGGCCAAGGTCATGAGGCTTTTGTTTCTGGGCGAGCAGAGGATCACGCGGTAAGCACATGCTGGAAGAAAGCTGCCCACCTCACAGCAGATGGGAAGCAGACAGAGAAAGGAGGGGCGGCGGCCCAGAATGAATGTGTCCTTTGAGAGCAGGCTCCCCAGTGGCCCAGTCCCACTTCCCAGAGTGTCACTTGTTCCCAACAGTTCACGTACCTATGAATCACAAATGCACAAACCCAATGATGAGGTCAGAGCCCTCGCGATCTTCACCTCCTGAGGCTCCACTGCTGAGCACTGGTGCCCTGGGGACCGAGCCTGCCCCACCAAGCTTTGGGAGCATTTCCTACCCACACCATCACACTTTCCTACTGCCACCGTGCATTATATCATTGGTGCGAAGTTATTTTTGTGAATTTAAAGATTGCTTACTATTTTACAGTTGTTCATGCATTCACACCTTTTAATGTTTTCCATTTTTGTCTGAAATTCCACATTTATTGCTAGGATCATTTTCCTCTGATATGAATACCCTTGTAATTTTTGTAGTGGGCCCTCCTGGCAACAAATTTGGTCAAGCAAAGAATCACGGTCAAGTATTGTGTCTGCGCTTTTTCTTTTAATTGATAAGGATTCTTAGTGACAGAATGTTTTAGTAACTTAACTCACTCAATTAAAAAAAAATACTGTGAAAGCAGATTTAATTCAGATATTCTGGGGCCAGAGCTCTTAGTTTTCATCAGATACACTAAACTATCTTTGAATTTAAAAAGAGTTTCAGGGCAGAGAATAGATTTTTTTAAAGTATTTATTATCAGTTGGTTTAGAAAACCTCTGGGTCTTGCTATGTATAGGAATAGGGAAGCCCTCAGAATGTCCCTGTTTTTTATGACAGAGTTTAACATATTGACCTATGTTAGTTTGTTCATGTTCTTTTTCCTAAAAGCCACTTCATTCACACCAGTCCCCATATTCTTTCTTTCTTCAGAGACGATTAATGGATCTTTTATTATTGTTTGCCTATTACCGGCATCAACAGCTGGATCCATTGAGTATCTTTTTTTCTCTTGTATATTCACCTAATGATTGTATTCATACCTGAATGCTGTTTGATTGGTCAGCTTTTTATCATTGTAACCAAATATCTCTGAGAGAAGGACCTACTTATTTTGGCTCACAATTTTAGAAATTCCAGACTATCGCTGGTTGGCTCCATGCAGAACTAAACATGGTGGAAGGTCATGGCGGGGTAAAGCCCCTCACCTCAGGGCAACCAAGGGACAGAGACCAGGAAAGGGACAGAGAACAAGGGCTGAGGGACCAGATGTGGTCCGAAAGGTCACACCCCCACAGTCCATCTCAGCATACCCACTGTGCTTTACTAATCACAAATCTTAAATTGGCAGCCAAGATTAACTGTTGATTAATTATCAGAGCTGCTATAGGCAAAAAACAAAACAAAACAAAATAAAAAGCACACAAACTGGATGGCTTAACCTGCACAAATTCATCGTCTTATGGATCTGAAGTCTGGAAGTCCAAGATCAAGTGGATGGCAGGATTTGTTTCTTCTGAGAACTGAAAGGGAGTCTATTCTATGCCTCTCTGACTTCTCTAGCTTCTGGTCAAATGTTGGCATGTCATGGCTTCTGCTGGATCACCTTACTGTCTATCTTTATCTGCACATAGAGCACTCCCGTACAAGTGTGTCTGTGCCCAAATTTCCCCCTTTTATGTCATAGTGGATTAGGGATCATCTTAATGCAGTATGTTCTCACTTTAACTGATAATATTTACATCATCCTTATTTCCAAATAAATTTACATCCTTTAGGTACTGGTGGTTTGACTTCAGTGTATGAATTTGGGGAGGGAAGATACACTTCCACCCACAATGACCTTTGTAGTGGAGCTTTAAAAAATCTCGGCCATTAAAACTAATTATTTCCTTCATCCCTTAAAAATAATGACAACATCCAA